AAAAAAAAAAAAAAAAAAAAAAACAGCAACAAGAGAAAGGAACCCATAAATGAGGGAGGACAAAAGGCTAGAGAAGGAAAGAGACAGGAGACACCAGTGTGGCCTCTTGTGAGTGACGATGGTCCAGAAGGTACCGCACAGGGCCAACAACTCCAAAGAGCAGCATCCTTCCCTGCATCTGGTTGATGTCTCTCCCAGCTTTCTGAGCTGCTGACAGCCCTGGGTCCCACTTGTCAGCTTCCTTCCCACTCACCTGGACAGGTGACCAATGGACATTTTCTCTCCTCTCGCCACATTTCTTTCCCTTGTTCCAGTTGTGTGATGAGTTTTGGTTTAGAAAATGGAATTCCTGCTCACGTGAAAAGAAAACAAGGTAAATAGGCTCTGGGAGCTGGGCAGGGTGGTGCATACCTATAATCCTGCACTCTGGAGGCTGAAGCAGGAGGATTTCTACAAGTTTGAGGCCAGCCGGGACTACATAGTGAGTTCAAGGCCAGCCTGAACTACATAGTGAGATCCTTTCTCAAAGAAACAAAAAAACAAAAACAAAAAAGTAGTCTCTGCATCATAGCGCCACCTAAGTGAGGACATGCAGAGGGTAGAACATGGACTTCAGGCCAGTGGGGAGGTAAGCCCCTGACTCTAGTCCATGCTGGGGGGAAGGCACCTCTATCAGTTAAAGAAGTTAACCCCAGAAAAGAGCCCTAACCTACAAAAAACAGTTTAGAAATACCAGAAATAGAGGGTACCTCTCTCTCTTCCTCTCTCCCTTACTCGCTCTCATGTACCCTACCCCTTTTCAACTTTACAAATTTAGACCTTCCCCGGAAAACAGAACATCTTTGCTTTTCAGTCCAACCCAGGGCCCAAGTCAGAAATCAAGATGGCAGCCTGCATGGCCCAAACTACCCAGAAGCAACCATGTGTGCTTACCCAGAGACTCCAGGTGGCTGTAGGTCTCCAGCATCACCTCCCTGTACAGGCTCCTTTGAGCAGGACTCAGCAGGCTCCACTCCTCCTGGGAGAAATCCACAGCCACATCCCTGAACGCCATGTGTGTCTGGAACACAAAGCACAGCCCCACTCACCAGGGAGCCGTGCTGGCTCACGCTGCAGGTGAGGGACAGGGAGGCTTCTGGATCTGCACTTGAGTGTGACACTGGCACCATGCCCTCCAAGACCTTTATACCCGTCTCTACCCAGCCAGTGGCATCAAAGTCCTGGGTGGGCTGCTTGAGGTATTCACACAAAAAGTAAGAGCCCTAAGTTTTAGGAACTTTAAATCTAGGCAAAAGAGCAAACAACACAAAAAAAGTAAAAATGTAAAGCTTTGATGAATTTGACGAATGTAAAGTTGACGAATTTAGAAGATCAAATAGCCTACCTAACCCAGTGATGGCAAACCTTTTAGAGCTTTCAATGATAACAAACAGCTGGCTGTGGCACGAGTGCCATAGGCTCATCTCCACTGGTCTAACCTAACCAATAGAGCTGAAACATTTGGGTGACTGAATTCTTTTTTTTTTTTTTCAGCTTTAATTGAGTTTATTGGTACATTTTAGGGATACAGTACAGTTACAATCATTGTTGGGATCTTGTACCTCTACATGAAAGGTCTTGGTTCTCATTTTTTCCCCTTGTCCCTGCCCTCCCTTCACCCCCTCCTCCCCTCCCCATCTACAAACATTTTATTTCCATCTTTTCTTTATCTCACATTTTTTTCTTTTCCCTTATTACCCTTACCCTACCCATCTGACCTTCCCTACACCTTTAGCCCCTTTCTTCCCATCTGACAATGTCAGTAATCTTATTAGGATCTTATGTATTATTGCAGTTTATTCACACCAGAGAAACTATTAGGTATTTACACATGTGTGACTTATTTATTTCACTTAGGAGTATATCTTCAATATGTATCCATTTTCCTATGAATGAATCTATTTTCTCATTCTTTATGGCTGAGTAATATTCCATTTTATAGAAAAACCATATCTTCTGTATCCAGTTTCCAACTGATGGGCATCCAAAATGAACAGACATTTCTCAGACAAAGAAGTAAAAGCAGCAAGTAAATATATGAAAAAATGTTCCACATCACTGGTCATTCAAGAGATGCAGATGAAAACAACACTGAGATTCCACCTCACCCCACAAAGAATGGCTGCTATCAACAAATCACACAATAATAAATGTTGGCTGGGTTGTGGGGAGAAAGGAACCCTTCTCCATTGTTGGTGGGAGTGCAGACTGGTGCAACCACTATGGAAGTCAATATGGAGATACCTCAAAGAGCTCAGACTGGAGGTTCCATTTGACACAGCCATCCCTCTGCTGGGTAACTTTCCAAAAGAACTAAAAGGATCATATCACAGAGAAGTATGCGCACCCATGTTTATAGCAGCACAGTTTGTAATAGCTAAAACTTGGGTGACTGAATTCTTACTATTCCGCACACAGAATCAACTTCAACTGATCCTTCTCACAAATCCCATAGCCGCAGCCTTCTCAGACCCGACGGGGACAGATAGGGTCCAGGGAGGCACTCAAACCAAGATCTTGAGGTCACCTCTGCCACCAACTAGTGCCTTAGTTTTGTCACCCACGAGACACACAGGCCATTAAACTTCCTGTCATATGTAGGTTGCTCATGAGGGAACTTGGCCATTTAACCTAGAAACTCGTCTCTGTACCAGTCCTTGTCCTCCTCCCCAGTGTTTCAGAATGGAGGACACTGTGGGATGGCTCTGCCTAACTGTGGGCATGGGAGCACGGTCTGAGACAACGAGAGGGAGCGGAGGGAAGAGGGAGAGACCATGGATGAGGCCCTGGGGTACAGGGACGAAGGTCCTGTGAGCAAAGGAAGCATGGAGGACCCCGGGAGGGATGAAGCCCAGCTACTGGTACAACATGGGACGGAAGGAGCAGCCCCTACAAGGTTTTTCATTTTTACCGTGACTAAAATACCAGTACACAGAACACAAATTTCCTGTCTTTACCATTTTGAAGCACACAGTTCAGTGACATCAAGTGCATTCACGATGTTGTATACCCATGACCACTGTTCATCTCCAAGACATTTTCTACGTTTCAGTACTGAAGGCTGGAATCTCAAACAGTAACTTCCCATCCCCGCTCCTCCCCCAGCACCCCCGTCACAACCATTTTACTTCCTGTCTCTCTATATATATTTGGCTCTTCTATGTGACTATAATAGTTGGAATCACAGAATGCATGGTCTTTTATTTGGCTTATTTCACTTGTAATCATCTCTCCAAAATTCATCCACGCAGAAGCATGCAATATTTCACTGCATATACATATACATATATATATATATATATATATATGTTTATCCTTATATGTAGTTCATCTATTCGTATATATATTGTTTATTCTTTATCAATGGGCATGTCTTCTGGCTACTGTGAATAATTCTGCCACATATATTGGTGTATAAATTTTAGTTTTTACTTTCAATTGCTATGAGTATACTGTATATCCAGGGATGGAATTATTGCAAGTCCACATTCAGTTTTCTCAAGAGCCACTATGTTTTCCGTGCCATTTCCACTAGCAAGGTATAAGGGCTCTACTTTCTTTACATCCTCACCAGCACTGACTGCTTTCTATTTCTCTATCACAGCCATGTTGATGGCTTAGAAAGTGGTCTCAATCTGGCCTTCATTTGCATCTCTCTGATGCTTTAATGATGGTGAGGATCTTTCGGTGTGCTTATTGGCTGCTACTGGCTAGATACTGACTTTGGTCTCCAGCCGACACATTGGGAGGTGGTGGAACATATAAGAGTTAGGCCTAATGCAAGGTCTTTAGATCACTGGGGGTATACTCCAAAGGGGACTCTGGGAATCCAGCCTGTTTCTCTTTCTTTTTGACCCTAACTCACAATGTAAACAGTTTTGCTCTGCTATGTGGAGCTGCCTTATCACACACCCAAATCAATAGGGCCAGCTGGGTGTGGTGGCACATGCCTGTAATCCCAGTACGTGGGAGGCTGAGGGAGGAGGATAGCTGTGAGTTCGAGACCAGCCTGGGCTACATAGTGAGTTCCAGGTCAGTCTCAACTACACAGTGAGACCCTGTCTCAAAAAACCAAAAATAAAACAAAACAAAAATCAATAGGGCCAACCAAGAAACTCCAAAACTGGGAATGAACCTTTATTCTTTGTAAGTTGATTATCATTACAGGGTGCAAAATGGACTGACCCATTGGCTATTTGTGTGCCTTCTTTTTGAAAATGGCTATTCAAATCTTTTGTCCAGTTTTGAATTTAGGGTGTTTACTGTTGAATTATAGGTCTTTTATATACTCTGGATATTAATCCTTTATCAGATATGACCTGCAAATATATTTTCTTCCTTTAATAAACAAAAGTCTTACATTTTGATGAAGTCCAACTTCATTATTTTTTTTCTTTTGTTGCCTGTTTTTGGTGTTATTTTCAAGAAATCAACATATCCAAACAAGTTAGTTTTTACATATGGTCTAGGTACGTGTTCACCTTCATTCTTTCGCATGTAAATATACAGCTTTCTCAATGTTTATTGAATATACTGTCTTTTCCATTCTTGGCACTTCTGTTGGTTATTTGTCCAGATGTGTAAGGGTTTATATCTGTGCTTTTGGCCTAGTAAGTCTCTCTTTATGACAGTACCAAAGTATGGATTATACTTGCTTTGTAATAAAGTTTGAAATCAGGAACTGTGAGTCCTTCAACTGTTTTTTGGTTTTCATGATTTAAGTATTCAATGTTCCTTGAGATTCCATGCCAACTTTAGGATGAATTTTTTTGTTTTTGCTAAACAACAGTCATTGAATTTTGATATGGATTACAATGAATTTGTATATGGGCTTGGCAGCATTGCCGGTTTTCCAATCCATAAACATGTGGTGTCTTCTATTTTTTTATGACTTCTTTAGTTTCTTTCAGCGGTGTTTTGTAGTTTATGGACAAGCCTTTCATCTCCTTGATTAATTCCTAAGTATTTCCTTCTTTTGATCCTAAAATGAAACTATTATTTTTTCTCATTTCTTTTTAGGATTATTTGCTAGTGTACAGATATACAACTGATGTTCTACTGTATATTCTAGTGGATGAGTGTATGCATGTGATTTTTATGGTCAACATATAAGGTCATATCTGCAAACAGACAATTTTACTTTTTCCTTTTCAATTCCAATGTCTCCTCCCCCCCTTTCTTACCTTCTTTATCTGATTAGAACTTCCAATACTCTTGTTGATTATAAATGGCAAAATTGGGCATCATTATCCTGTTCTTGATTTTAGAATTTTTAATCTTTAACCTTGGAGTATGTTAGAGGTGAGATTTTCATATATGGTCTTTACTCTATTGAGATAGTTTCCTCCTATTCCTCGTTTGTTGAGTGTTTTTCATAAAAAGATGAAATTCTTCAAGTGCTTTTCTACATCCAGTGAGATGATCATGTGCTTTTTCCCCATCATCTGTTAATGTAGTGCATTACATTTTATATTTTTATGGTGAATTATTATCCTTACATTCCAGAAATAAATCCTATTTGGTCGTGGTGTACAATTTTTTTCATGTGCTGCTGAATTTGGTTAGTATTTTGTTGAGGGTTTTTCATCAATTTTTCGTAAGTTTGTAGTTTCTTGGAGTATCTCTGTCTGGTTTTGATATCAGAATAATGTTAGCCTCAAAGAATGAGGTAAGCAGTGCTCCCTCTTCAATACTTTTAGAAAAGTTTAAGGGTTAGTGTTAGTTCTTCTTTAAATATTTGCTAGAATTCAGAGTAAAGCCACCAGGTCCAGAGCTTTTCTTTGTAAAGAGAGTCAATTCTTCATGATTTAGTCTTGATGAGTTTTCAGTCTAGGAAGTTATCCATGTCTTCCCAGTCACCCATTTTGCTGGTGCATAAATCAGAGTACTTTTGCAATCATTTTTATTTCTGCAAAATCAGTAATAATGTCACTTTAATTTCTGATTTTAATAATTTGAGTTTTCTTGTCAATCTAGCTGAAGGTTTACGAATTTTGAGAAAACTTAGAAGCAATTTTAGGT